CTCCCCCTACCTACCTACCTACCTTCCTTCCTACCTATGAGGAAGCTCTGAGAGCCGCTTTAGGAGACTGGACTCAGCTATGGCAGATGAGGTGCCAAGGCCAAGACAAAAACTTTGGTCTTCTTCAGCCAATTCACATTGGAACATCCACTTCCTCCTTTTGCTGGGCTGGGCAGAGTGCTTCTGGGGATACTGAGTGTCCTTTTAAGATTTCCTGTAGCTGTAGTTAAGGCCGAAATTCCCACAAGATTTGTTCCTAAGGAAATGTCAGCAAATCCCACCTAACATCTTTTGTCATAAGATTGGTTCCTCCTCCTTCTGGTTCTCCTTGGGTTTCCGTGTTTTCCTTCTCCAGTTGCCTCTACCAATGAATTTCTGACTCTGTCATCGTCCCACACAGCATCATTCATTTCATGTTTTGTTTCCTTGTTCATCAAAGTTGCATTGTTTCATTGTGTACACACCTACCCTTCAAGCTCCCAGCAAGGAAATCCACTGTTCTAAAAGAATGGCACACCAGCACGGGAAACCTTGATTAATAGCTGTGATAACAACACCCCTTGCATAATATCAAATGGGGGGGGGGTACGCTCTGAGCACAACCTTGAAGAGAACGGCTGAGTTACAAAAAGAAGCTGCTGCCATGCCTGTGGTGATGCCAAACACGCAAGGCAGGAATCACTCTGGCTTGCCAACCCAGGGAAGGGTATTGCTCAAGCTCCTCTCCCAGTGTTTGCCAATTTCAATTTCTTCCTCTTGAATTTAAAGAAGCAGATTATGCATTCACTCTTGAGGGGCCTTTACTGCTCTCTGACTTTGGCTGTCAGAAACTCCACTCCTTTCCAGCACTGATAATATTACCTAGTTGGGTAATGAAATGTCTGCAAGAAAAAAACTGCAGTTCTTCTCCTTCCCCCTCCACTCTGCAAACCCCACACCCTTTAGCATACGTACATGATATCACCTAATTCATTAATGAAAAGTCTGCAAGAAAACAACCAAGCTCAGAGAGCACCAAGGACCCCAAAGCCATCGCCTCCTCCTCCTCCTCCTCCTCCAACCCCACTCCCTTCTAGCACTGATGTTGTTCCCTAGTTGGGTCCTGAAGTATGTGCATGAAAACAGCCAAACTCAGAGAGCACCAAGGACCCTGCAGTTCTTTTCTCCTTCTCCTTCTCCTTCTCTTCACAAACCCCACTCCCTGACAGTGAACCAAAGACCCCACAGTTCAACTCCGAATTACAAATATTCTCGTCTATTGGTCCACTCACCATTGCTCTATCTAAAAATAAGTAGCAATCTGTTTGATCATATGCAGCTTGGTCCCAGCTTTTAGTGATCACCCATAGGATAAAGTACTCTCAAATCACTATATTAGAAGGTTTGTGCATATGGATGAGTCAACTTCAGGCCATTTCTAGGCTGTAGCCTGCTTCTAAACTTACTACTACTAAGTTATTTCTGGATTCACCCATATTGACAATAAAATTAAATCTGAAGAAGTCACTCTCCCCACCTAGAAGTTATTTAGTCAGAGTTTGATTATAATAGGCTGGATGCCACATCAATTCCCTCCTATTCCCCCCCTCCATTAATTGCTCCTCTACAGGGAAAAGAAGTGATACCATCCTGAGTGGGAGGACTAGTACAGATAGTTCTTGACTTACAATATAGTTTGTTTAGTGACTGTTTGAAATTACATCGGCACTGAAAAAAGTGATTTACGACAATTTTTTACATTTACAACAGCTGCAGCAGCCCCATGCCCATGTAATCAAAATTCAGACATTTGGCAACTGACTCATAGGTATGACAGCTGTAGTGTCCTGGGATCACGTGATCCCCTTTTGCGACCTTCTCACAAGCAAAGTCCATGGGGAAGCCAGATTCACTTAACCACTGTGTACTTAATAACTTAAGTACCTGAACAACTGTGGTAAGGAAAATGGGGCAAAACTCACTTAACAAATGTCTTGCAACAGGCAAGTTGGGCTCAATTGTGATCGTAAGTTGAGGATTACCTATATAGCACTTTGAATAGGGGGATTGAGAGAAACACAATTTGAGTTTTCTTTATGTAAAAGACAGACTTAAAGTAAACAAACAGAAGATAGAAGCAAGTTGTATCAGAATTAAGTCAGTTCTAGTTTTTAGCACTGACCACAAAGCTGGGTATTTTTTAAAAAGGGGAATTAAATTGCACCCACCTGTGCAGCTAAATCACATATTCAGCACCTTCCACCAGCTCACTGTGCTGAATACAAGTTAGCTTACCAGGTAGCATGAATGCACAACCAAGTTTGTTAATCACCTATTGGAAAATGTAATTTGTACACCACCAAGCAGTTTTGAGTCATGCTTCCCTCTACTGCTTCTCTGCTTTTGATGTACTGATGGATGAGACTTAACTAATTCATCCAGTGATCAAAATTTACATTTATCCCAATGAAAATAAAGCCCCCGGGCCTTATTTTCTAGCACTTATTTAGTTTTGGGTGATTCTAGACTTGCATATAAAACATATCTGTAATGTGAGTTACTTTGGGTGCCAGCTCAGGGTGTTGGTTACCACCTTTAAAGTACCTTACTAGCACCGCTTTATAAAACTTTAGTAAGACCATGCTTAGAAAACTGTGTCCAATTTTGGTCACCATAATATAAAAAAGAGTGCAGAAAACAGTAACAAAGATGATTAGGGAACTGGAGGCTAAAACATAGGAAGTTCTGTTCAGTTGCAAGAATTGGATCTGGCTAGTCTAGTCTAGGGGCAACATGATAGCAGTGTTCCAATATTTGAAGGGCTGCCACAAGGAGAAGAGGTCAACCTATTTTCCAAAGCATTGGAAGGCAAGACAAGAAACGATGGATGGAAACTAATCAAGGAGAAAAGCAACCTAGGACTAAGGAGAAATTTCCTACAGTGACAACAATTAACCAGTGGAACAACTTGCCTCCAGAAGTTGTGGGTGCTCCAACACTGGAAGTGTTTAAGAAGAGATTTGTCTATAGAACCATTTGTCTATAGGGTTTCCTGTCTGAACAGGGGTTGGACTAGAAGACCTCCAAGGTCCCTTCCAACTCTGTTATTCATGGTAAGGGACCAGGTTACCATCCGATCCTGTTTTCACTGACCCATCCCTCCTGGGCAAGCAGGGAACACATATTTTGTACCCCATCGATTAAAGAAGTCCAAGTGTTGGGGGTCTAAAAAGAGAGCCTTCTCTGGATACTCTCTCCCTCTGGAATAACTTGTCCTTGGAGATTTATATCTGTATTTTTTTGTTTTTATAGAAAGTTGCCATGAGTCACCTAGAATTATCCTGTATATTAGCAATATAACTTTCCTAAATGAATAATTGTTGCCCTGTTTTTACTGCAAGGTGCACAAAGTTGGCAACTGTGTTGGGGAAAGCATGGTTGGAGAGTGGAAAATAGACATCACCTTCTTTTGTCTTTCCTGGGAGATATTGCAACAAAGGTAATATGGAGAAAGATAGCTAGCTAGATAGCTGGATATAGATAGATAGATAGATAGATAGATAGATAGATAGATAGATAGATAGATAGATAGATAGATAGATAGATAGATAGATAGACAAGAGAGAGATATGGATAGATAGATAGATAGATAGATAGATAGATAGATAGATAGATAGATAGATAGATAGATAGATAGATAGATAAGAGAGAGATTATAGAGAGATGGAGATAGATAGATAAGAGAGA